ATTGCCCATCAGGCTCATATTGTTGCTGTCGCACGGGCACCTTTGGAGAACTTGGAGGGGGATGGCTGCTGGGACTCCGTTGCCAAGGTAAACGATGTGGATTTAAGCCACAAAAAGAGCAGGCATGTGTGCTTGAGCCGGGGCACAATTAAAATGCGAAGGCGAAATTAATATCCGCTTACTGAGGTATCTTCCTCGCCCTCCTAAAATGACATTTTTCAAAGCTGCTTTCATAATTATGCACTGACTTTGAGAAATGCTAATGGTTATTATCGGGATTTATAAGCAGCTTACCGCACATTTTGCAGATTATTTAATTTTCTTTCTGTTCCCCGCTTAATTATGCGGATAATGATCTCAGCTGAAATGGCGATTTGGAAATGAGTAGAGTTTTATAGATATATTATTCAGTTACCGCAATTAAATTTGACACGCAAATTAGCAAACTTAGTGCATTATTCTAATGGAATCTTAAATATTCATCAACACTCGGTTCCCAAATTAATTAATTTCCTTTTTCTCTCGATGTTTATCTACCAAAGCCCCGACTCACATAATGAAGCAACTTGTCCGAGAGGAAGTTCCCCTCTTCCGGGTCAACAGGATCCGCATCCACCCGGTCCAATTCCTCCGAACTCATTTGCATGCGAGGTGCTATCAAAATAAAAATTTTACAATTCCAAATGAGGTTGGGAGGCCAACTTGGTATGCAAATTGAACAAACACAAACCGCAGCAAAGTTTGCGACGGGCCAAAAAACAAAAAGGTGAAGTTCAAAGTTTCCACTTCGGTTGATATGATATGTTGGAGTTTCGTACGCCCCTGGTTTTGTTTAAAAAATCTGTTGAATATGCAAATTGCACTTAAACGATTGCGGCGACCATTTTCGTACATATTCCGGGGAACTTTTCGCTTTCCTAAGTAAATTTAATAATTTATCACATTATTTAAAGCTTTAAGCCGCTTTCAGATTTGCCCCCTCTTTGAGGTCTTTTTACATATTTCAGTTCATAATAAGCGATATTTTGTTCTCCGTAAACAGACACGCAGGCAACTAAAATTTCAGCATTTTTTAAATTTGTAGCATCTTATACTTTGCAGGTAATGGTCAAACGAAACTTTTCTTTCCGCAATTTTCCCAGACTAGCTTTTAGTATTTGTAGGGAAAAGCTATGAACATTAGCTTGACAAAAAACAAATATTTTGTGTAGTACCTAAAATATGAATTTGATTAGTCACTAGGATAGATTTACGAAACGGAATAAACCTCAATTATTGGTTTAGACAAAACCTTACCATTAGATTAGTCTTTACATTATTTACAGAGATTATTTGCTTTTTTCCAAGGCTGTCTTTAAAATTTGATACCCATGATGTTTATCTATTATGCACTTATTTATGTTAACATTTCGTTTAGCTGACTGGCAATCACAACCGAATCAACTTCCACCTCAACCACTTTCAGGGCATTTCAAATTCTGCTCAAAGGTTGGCATTCCACTTGCCTTGTTTTAGTGCCATTTGTGCGTTATTTTTATAAAGTTACATCATGAATTATTCATAAGCGGAGCAGACGTACCGTAACGTAAGAAAAACAGCGAAAAAGAAAAAATCTTTAAGTTTTCTTTCTAGGAAAGGCTACGGAGTTGTCAGGACAAATTCTGCCGGCTGGCAGGCAGAGTTCGCTGGCAAATACGTAAATCTGATTAAATTATGGGAAACTTTCTAATTGGTTTGTTATTAAGACGGCGATTACCATAAATTATATTTGAAATAAGTAAGCCATTTGGCGGCTATGCAGCAATTGATAAAGCCGTTTCCGGAATGGCTTGGCAAATTATCTCAGTAGAGTGAACCGGATCTCCAAAAACAAAACAAAACAAAGCGAAACCCTTGCCTCATGTTTAATGCACTTGACAGGAACAGACCCGAAACCTTCAAGAAAGCCCCAATTTACAGGCCCAAAGTTATGACTTTTACGCACCATTATCGCCTTAATAATTTAGCCGGCCACGAAAAGGAAAACCGAAAGCCGAAATTGCTAGAAAAACAAGAAAACCTTGCATAACTTATGGCCAGCAAAATGAGCGGTGGTGTGAAATGGAAAGGGCCTGAATTTGTAAAGGGCCAAATTAAGCGCAATTAGATTTATACAGAACATTTAATGAAAAAATACAAAAATGACCGTACTGATTACAATTTCGCGCTCCAGTGTGTGGAGTCCGAATAATCAAGTGGTTAGAATTAAGTATCCACTCGGGCTGCCGAAATTAAAGGACTGCGACTACGGAAGGCCCCGTCAAACAATCGTCCAACGCGGTGGTAAAAGGTAAACATTATTTTTTCATCCTGTCAATTTCGTGCTTTTAATTAAAATCCTGCGTGCCCAGGTACAGTGTAAACACGCCGACGCCCAAAGGGATAAGCAAAGCAAAAGGTTCACTAATTAAAAAAATAGAATTTCGGCGCCTTTAAAGACGTCCGGGGATCCCTCCCCATCCATCACTTGATGATGCATGGCCATGAAGTGTGAAAAATTCGGCCTCATTTTTAAATAGACTTAAGTCGGTCCGCTGGTCTTTTTGCTTCGCTCTGAACTTGGGGCCAATGGCACCGCCTGCCATTTATTTGGCTCATTTCTCGAAATTAATTAAACACTCGCCGGGCGCAAGGTCAAAAGAGGAAATGGCCCCCTTCATACACGGCTAGTGCCAACAATTAGCCTTTAAGGGGCCACAGTTGGGTCGGATGTTTGGCCAAGAAAAAAGGGAAACTGAAACTGAAATAGAAACTCTGTTGGTTCGGAAGAAGCGGAAATTTTAACTAACTAGGGACTGCAAGGCCTTCCGCTTTCCCGCCCATCAAAAGCTACACAATTACCCGTTTTAATAAAGTTTCAGCGAACTCGGCGCATAAAATTAAACAATTAAGCAAATATATAGTTCTTGAGACTTCAAATGAGCAGCCTTCAACTCTTTGAAAAATGCAGGGCAAGGAAAACTTAACAAAAAATTTACTCGGGTTCAAGATGGAGAAGTTAAAAATGTACTTAATTTTCAGTTTAAAATGTCTTCAGAAAAATCTGCAACATATTTATCAAAATCATCCAATGGTAAAATACATTTTTATTATGCACACCATCCTAAACTTATAAGGTACTTAAGTATTTTTAGTTAAATATCAAAGCAAATAAATTTCGCAAGAACCATTTCATAAGTACATTTTGGTTATGAAAATAATGACCGACGCAATAATGGTTGTAATATTTTTTTTTATTTTCCTTATAATTATCACAAATACTTACTCTTTTCCACAGGGAGACTTAAAAATTTGCAAGTAGAAGGAAGGCGCCTAAAAATATATTTACTGAGGTCCACGAAAATTATAAAACTCATCAAAATTGGCTAAGCGAACTTTATTGTTTGTTAATAAAGAAAAAGTAAAAGACCGTTGCAATATAATGACATAAATAAACAAAAGGTGAACAACTTAGAATATTCACTAGTTAATTTGTTTTCTTATTTTTTTAGGGAAAAGCTAAGCCTGCAGCTTCCTAAAAACGGCCAAAACAAGAGGGCCTCAAAGCAATCTGGGAGCTTAAGCGTGCCTGATTTGATTAGTCAATTAACAGTTCATTAGTTGTCAGTCGACGGCACTGTCAACGCTTTAATATCTTCACACTTTGTCACCCAATAATCCAATCTTAAATCATTTTCATGGCCTCCAGTGCCTGTTTGCGGGAATGGGGCAAATAAATCGAATATCCATTCACACGGCCACGCCCACACAATGTCAATGGTGAGCGGGCAAAAACAGACCAGAAAGCAGAAGCCAGGACCAGAAATGAGATAGACTGCCGACAGAGACGGACTGGGGCCATAAATAAGGATACGGCCAGGACGAGTCGTAGCACGACGTATTCCGGTGTATTTTTAATGCCACAATTAAATGCAAATACAATACGGCGAGGACGGATAGACAGAAAAAAGATGGAACTGACAACACAGGGAGCAGGCAAATGTTGAAGGATGGCCCAGGGACAGCTGAAGGACACGCGGCCGGACGGATCTGTTCCCTATCAACAGCTTTTTCCTGCCTGCTACCCAATTTTTTTCCTCCTTTATTTTTTTGCGGCTGGGAAAATATTTTTGATGCTGACAACAAAAAACACTGGCGAGCAACAGCCTGCGGAAAATATATAGACAAGCGCCACGCCCCCACAACCAACACTGCCGCCCGCCCCCGGCAAAAACAATGCGCCAAAGTAGCTGGAAGACAAAGGGAAAGAAAAGGAGTGCAGTGTGGCCAGAGGTCCTTGATTGCGGATGAGCAAAAAGTGCCCCACCCACACAAATGAGATATTCACTTAAATTTAATTTCCATTATTTTTATGAAAGCATATTTTAATTCGCTTTATTGGCAATTTTCGTCGGGCAGCAAGAACGCCAATATGAAAAAAGAGATCCATATAACATGTTAAGTCCCCCGGGCGGCTGTGGTCGTTAAGTATTTTTAATAATGTGATTTTGCAGAGAAGAAAATAACAAAAGCGGAAACTCGCTGGCAGGTCGCAGTTAATTTTCTTTTATTTAAATACTTGAATAACTTTTTGTCCAGCACTTTTGGCTAACAAATTAATTAAAGGCCATATAAAAGCAGTTTATTGTTCAGATTTTTGCAGAGGAACTGTGATATATTCCTGCACGCTTTCCCAATTATTTCATCAGCGGTTTCGATCGGAGAGACTGCACAATTAATTGAACTGCCACAAATACCGCGATGGTCGGGAAAAATACCCATAATTGTAGCAACCACACTTTGACACTTTCAGCGATATACGTTCAAGTAAAGTTAAATAAAAGAACAAACAAAATATCATGTTTCACTTACAGAGACCCAACCATCCCCGAACGATTTTCATCCATTTTTATTTTGTTTTCATCCAGAGAAAATGGCAAAATATATTTTCTGACAGCCTCCTTCCGTAGCTCGTGTTTGGAAATGCTTTGTGTACTTTGTTTGCACTTTAATAAAAACAAAGGACACACAAAAAGGAAATTTTCGCTTGGACAGTTTTTTGTAATAGGCGAACCATTCGAGCAAAATTTTTGTGTGCTAAAGAAATAAAAGGAAACAACATCTTCGAGCAAAATGCAATTAAGTTCAGCCACAGGCCCCTGAGGCAAACAAACTCTTCTTAATTACTCGCTTAGTTTCGATATTTCCGACTGTGATTTATAGATTTTCAGTAGCACTCAATCTTGCCATACTTTTTGGTCACGACGCCCTGGGCTCAAATGGTATTTGCGGTGGCCGAAACTGTGGCAAAACGTGACCTGCCAACAAAGGAGATTCGATTATTGCCGGCGAAAAACTTGGGCTGGAAAATTCAGTATGTGCAGGATGGGGGCAGCTCTCAAGTCAGTTTACCTGGACTCACAGCTCTTTGGCAATTCCGTTCAATTTCCCTTGCGCTCGCTCAAATTGCAGTTAATGTAAATGAATGAATATTCCATTAAAAGTCAACTCGGGGAGCGGGAAACTGGGCGCAACAGCAACAGGCAGACGCAGTCTTTAAGCTGCAAAAATGCAAATTGATTTCCCGGATCCCGCCTTATTGACGTAACACGTAACACGTAAAGCGTCGCGCAGCTTAATTGGGATATTGAATTCGCCTCACGGGGGTTACGTAAAATATGCGCTGTTTATTTACAAAAGGGAGCCACCCCGACTGCACAGCCCCACTCCCTATGGCACTACTCATTTTCATCCTCCTCGACCAGCGTGGCATTCGGGTTGCTCAACAGTAGGGCCTCGTTGTGCTGCCTCACGTTGTAGTGGAAGAAGAAGGACTTGCTGTACTCGAAGGTGGAGATCATAATGGCGCAGGCAGGGGCCACCTTCAAAAGCCTAGGTCCGCACCCCGCGAAGAGTCCCCGCACTCCGTGCATCCTGTAAATGGCTGTCAGTCTGCTGTAGGTCGACCTCTTTCCGAAGTCCCTCGCCGGGGAGTCCGTGAAGATGACCCTCTCTCCAAACTCGATCTGCTCGTGGGTCTTGACCACATCGAACGGAGTGGTCACGATGGCAGCCACCGATCCCGCCAGAACGCCGGCCAAAAAACTCAGACTGAACGAGGGCTGCGAACTGTGACCGAGATTCTGCTTGAGGTACTCGTAGATGGGCCAGTAAATTCCCGAAAAAGGCACGTCCCTGAGGATCGTGGGCCGCAGACCCCGCCACAGTCCCCAAACACCCTGAAGAGCCACCACATTCCTGACGAACTGCGTCATCTGGGCGTAGGTTTGCCGCTGGGCTTGCATCTTGGTTCTTACCAGCTCGATGGGACTCACCACAGTAACTGCACAAATCCGGGCCGTGACCCCTGACATCATGGGAACCACCAGCGGCAGACTCGTCTTGGTGTCCCTAAGATAGGAATGGTTTGTACTTAAAAGTATATAAGACAAATTATAATTTAATTTTCATTATATTTAATCTTGGAAAATAAGTCCCAAGCACAAGCAATTAGAAATTGTAATTTAGAATAATTGTCAGTATAAATCAAATAATTTCCTCTATTTATTCTCCTTGATGTCCCTAAGATAAGTATTAAAAAAAATTATATTAAAGTAATTAGTGCATTGATTTAAAAAAATGTTTTGTTTTTCATTCAACATAACTTTTTAATAAGAATTTATTGCTAACATTTTGTAATAAATTCTTTTATAATTTCTTTTGTATCTCATCTTTTCATTATCGTAAAAAAACTACTATTTATACATAAATCTATCCATTCAACTTCGTTTTATGGCATTACTGAAATCATTGGTTATTTAGAGCTTACAAGGGTTTAAGTTCCAATGAATTCAATTTATTATTTTGCATTTCGTTTAAGTAACAAATTGTTTTGCAATATATGTTTGCGTTTACTAAGCGGGATAAGTGCTTAAAAGGCGATTAAACGAGTTGAAAACAACAAGTAGATAATACCACATGATTGTGTTTAATACTGCTTGGCTTAAAGGATTATAGACCCACCTGAATTCCATATCCAGCTGCCGGGGTTCCGGACTACTCTTCCAGTGCCTCTTATACACCTCGAGGTACTTGGCCCTGAACTGCTCGTAGGCCACGAAGTAGATGATGGTGGAGGGCAGGGCGGAGACGAGGGTGGGTCCCAGGCCGGACCACAGGGCGCCCAGTCCCTCGTGCCGGCTGATCTTGATCAGGGCATCCCAGGTGCTGGTGAACTGTGGCCTCGGCCGCAGGCTGGCCAACTCGGGGCCGTTGGGGCCGCTCGAGAAGAGGTGGTCCATCAGGCCATTCGAGTAGAAGAAGCACTTGTGCGCCGGCGACTGCTGCGACTGCATGCGGGTCTTGATCACGTCCAGCGGGGTCATGAAGCAGGCCGTGATCATGGCCCCCGCGCAGGCCGATATCACCTGCTGCAGCGGCCGGATACGGAAGCGCGGATCGCTCATCAGTTTCCGGTGCGTTGAACTGGAATCCGTCGCCCGGTCGACTGCGTCATCTTCTCGCGAGCTCCTTTCGGATTTAGGGAAGTTGCCACCGGAGGTTCCACTACGTCCACTTCCACCTGTACTGCCCCCACCAGTACCGCCTCCACCTCCACTTCCTCCACCACCAATGAAGGACTTTGGACGCGGTCCGCGACCCATCGCAATCTCCGACTCGGCTGGACTCGCCTCCGCACTGGATGCGCCGGTGTCTTCCTTCGACATGGCTGCCTTCTCTGTTGTGCTTGAACAGTTGAGGGAGAGTCGATCTGGCTTCGAAATAGCATTTGTAAATTTACATTTCTAAATTTCACATTGGGGCCAGAAGGAATATCCGAGAAATATGACGTTTACGGTGGCAACTCTATAGACGGTCAGGTGTGTAAAGGAAAAAGTGTTTAGAACCGACTTTCCTTGCATGTTTCCTCTAGATGAATAACCATATCATCGGTGGACCGTCATATCTTAAGTTATATTGTCTTATAACATGGCTGCAATCTATTTTTTACGCTTTCTTATTATACTAGAAAATTAAATACATTTTTTAAACGAGAAAATTATGAATTAAATTGTAATCAACCTGAGTAGTTTAAACTAAACATTTGTGTTTTTATATTTTATATGAATTTAAACTGACTAATTTAAACATGACCTAAATGTTTTTATATTCCAAATGAATTTAAATTGAATTTAAACTGACTAATTTAAACTAAACGTTGCCACTGGTTAATGTTTTTATTCAATTATTCGAGGAGATAGAAATTGTTCATTCACTTCACTTCGCTTCGTGTGATTATAAATTCCATTCAGAAAAATCCTCTTTATTTATATGATTTCCATTCCATCGTTAGCTGTTCGCTTCTCTCCCCAGCCAAAGCAATTAAAATACTTTTGTGCCAAAATGAAAAAAACGCAGCCATTGCGGAATTGTTGTCGCTCCTGCTTTACTTTATTTTTGGCAATTAACATGCAGTACTCTCATTGCTGATGGCATTCGCACCGACTGTATCTGTACTTCCGCCCCTATTTCCCCGCCCCTGGCAGCTGGCGCCAGTTCGAGGGGGGCCGGAGTGTTCATTATGCCAAAAGGGATCCACTCTGCAGCGGAAGTTCCATCCCACATCGACCGCACCTTCAAGTCATCCCGCTTCACAGCTGAAAATGTGTCAAAGGTTTGACGTACTCGAAACGGGTTCGTGGGTTTCGGTTTGCCGCTGGGTCGATTTGGTATCTGCACTCGAAAAATAAACGACCATCAATAAATCAATTGATATTTACATTTAAATTATGTACACTCCAGAAAAGTTGAATAGTCGTGAAAAAGTAATATTAAACTTGTCTAAAAAAATACGAATTCAATAAATAATACATTTTCTAGTGTTTTTTTACTTTGGGTGACCTTTCACAGCCCATTGTAATTGGAACGTGAGCCATGATTACTACAAATTTTTTTGTTTATCCTGGAAAATCAACATATTATTGTTTTCCGTGTCACTACCAGCAAACCAAGTTGACTGTTGGCGGAAAAATAATTGACATCAAAATGATGTCACTGTAAGATACCTGTGTGCATCTGACACATGTGCCACAACCTGTCGCCAGTTATTCCCACTCACATAAATGCACAGCCCAAAAAAAATGAAACGTATGGTAGAACATCATAATTCAAAAACAATAGAGATGATACTTGGCCTAATTAAATTATCTATCTAAAATATGGACATATAGAAACATTTGAATATGCGAATATTTATTCTTCTGTGCTGGCACTTTTTTAGAATAAATCCTGAATTGGTGGTGGCAAAAGCGTTTGAATCGCGTTATTATCTCTTAAGCAGATTTCAGATTATTTTAAATTCAATTTTGGTTTTTCTTGAGTGGGTTAAGTTGTTTTCACAATCCTTTCTTGGCGGCAGCAAGGCCAAGCCTAAGACAAGCACAGCATCAACAAGAGAGCCCGGAAGGACAAGATGTAGAGCTTCTGAAAAACACGAGAAAACACTCGCCGAAGGAAAATGTGGGTGGTGGAGGGAGGCAGTGGTTGCCAGAATGTTACCCTGATATGATTACGTTGCTATACAAGTTTGTTGCAAGGCCACGACGAAAAACAAAAACGAGTGGTTAACTACAAGAAACAATACTCTAATCGATTTGTTTTACCAGCCACTTCAACATAAATTGCAGTTGTGTGTATTTTGCTAGTATTTTTCCAAGTTTTAATATTTGTATACTACTTTAATTTTGTTTTTATGAGTAAATTTTTTTTCTTCAAATGTAGTAGTGTTTGAAATGGTCTGCATATTTTAAATTGTTATTAAAAATTAATAAACATGATAAATTTTTTTTTACTTTTTAAGGACTACTATTATTTTGAGATACTAACACGCTTTTTTCTCTGGGCCGCAAAAGGTGTACAAATTAGCAAAATGGAAAAAAGAGAACACTTTATAAACTTGTACACAATGTGACGAGAAAATAAAAAATATCGTAATTGGCACTTAAAAAATAAACCAACATAATTATTAAAGTTTTGGCCAACTTTGTTGTTGATAAATCAAACGAGTACCTAAAATTGTACCTTAAAGTACAACAATATTTAAAGTGCTACACAAAGTAAAGTACACAAATACAGCATACGAAATAAGCCAACTTTTGAAATATTCTGGAAACAAGTTGCAGACACAACCCTCAAGGGAAATAAGTTAGCCAGCAAGCGATACCCTAAGGAAGGGTAAAAAATGGTTCGAAAGGGAGACAATGGGAGGGTGGGTTGGCGGCCCTGAAGGTGGGTCTCGAACGAAATATGCCAACATGCACATGACATACTAACTAGCGCTGCTTTGCATCACCTACACGTTTAGCACACCCCCTTGGCCCCGCCCATGCCCACCGTTACCAAGTTCCCTTCCGGAATCCCATTCGCCTGCGTGACAACGTACCCGTCATCACATCACACGCAGACATTGTCTTACAGTTATGACTGGCGTTGCTATTTGGAATTCGACACGTACGCGGGTGTCCCAGGACACGTAGGACGGTGTAATCCAGGGGCGTCGGCAAGGGTGGCCAGGGGGGTTCCAGGGAGTTCCAGGGGCAGCATGTGCCGGTGTCGATTTTGACACGTTGCCCGTGTGCGGGAGCTGGTAATTGTGGTGTAAAACTGTAGAATAACAGCACTTAGCTGGCTGCTAATACGAGCACGTGTCTGCTTTGTTGCACAACACGGCGTATGCGCAATGCCGCACCCCGAATTTGGAATAAAAACGGCACACCAAACACGAAACCAATCGAATTGAACTCGTTAGGCATTCAATTTGCCATTAGCATGCCTGATTAATTACGAGTTTCTGCTGTTAATCAACTTCTGGGGAAAACGACTTGTCGGTTGGAATTAGAGAAACATTAGGCCGTATTATTGCCTATCGACAGCATCATCTGCGCCAAATAGATAATAATTATAATCAGCTTAGGGCTGGGAGTTTTCCATTAGCTGCGTCAGTTCGTATGCATATTGTTATTTAATTAAAGTCGAGAGTCAACAGCGAAGGAATGTTTACAGACGCCGGTGAAAAGCGATGGAAGGGACTTCGACTCGTGGATTCGACATATGGTGAGCCAAGGAAAATTCGCAGACACCAAAAGTCACAAAGGCCAAAAAAGGAAGGGAAAGGAAAAAGGGAAAGCGGGGCCAAGACTTGGGAACTGTGGCACGCGGCATTCACCGCACAATTCCATTACGTAAAGCAAACATCAGATGGCGATGGCTGCGCTGCATGATTGGGTTTGCTGCTTCTTGCGGCTCCCCACCGCCTCCTTTCCCCGTGGATGTGGGCGTGGCGCCAGTAAAGGCAACATATTGAATATTGATGCGCATCGATTTCGACTTGAAAGCGGGAAAAGTTCAAGCCAACATGCCACGCACACACTCACAGGCGTGCTCTTTGTTTATAATAAAAACATTTGCAATTTCTTGCAGCCACGCACTGAATGGCATTCGACACTATTCAGCATGGTAATGGTCGAATTTATTGAAAGCGAGATAAAATCTTGACTCGTTGCTGTTACAAAGTTGACTGAGATAGCTGAGTAGCAGGTGTACGAATGGCTAATGTCCTTTCAATATTCTTTGTACAATCATAGCCGCATCTTAAAGATTTCTGTTAGTAATAGTACTTCGCTAATAGGAAACTGGAACATTCAAGGTCACCAATAGTAACATTTACCAATCTTAAATGGTTTTTAAATTGTTTATACTATTATTAATTGACTTGGTATAAAAATGCGATGTTAAAAAAATTTTGGTATGACCTTCTAAAATAGAACACAAGAAAATGCGGGCTGATGTAGACATATTAATAGCCGACCAGAAACTTACCAACGTTTCTATCAGAATAAAATAACTGGATACGATTGAAATAAATAACCATCTTTGCACTATTTTAAAATTGGAAATATTATTATATTGAAAACTAGAATGAAAATGGTATATATTCTTATTTATATCCCCATGATTTCTTCAGGGAATTAAGGGGTGATGTAGACACTACTTTTCCCCTCATGATTGTCCCTCTATAAAAAACAGTTTTTTGTGCTTCTGGCAATTGAACCTTTATGCACTGACTTTCACAGAGATAACTCGATTCCGGTCAAACTTCTGACAGGCGAGTGTAAGTGCACTCAGCGCAGTTAACTGGCTGCGGCGTCTGCGAAGCAATTTGTGAACGCTCGTCGAGCATTTAAAACAATTGGTGCCAAACAATTACGCGGAGGGTGCGCTTCCCCGGGAAAAGGGGGCGGGGCGGGGGCGGAATGCGTGGAAGGAAGCCAAAGACTTCCGCGCCGAATTAGCGACAAATGTGTGGCAGCTGGGGGCATGGCCAGGGGCAGGGGCGGGGATGGGTTCCAACTACGACCCAAATTGCAAATTGCAACAAACTTGAACGAAAGTGGGCCAACGATGGCGACAACGGGCGCGACGATGGCCGCTTTGTCTGCGTAAGTTGGTAATAAGCAAATTAAATGCCAAGGGAACGCGGCCCTGCAAAGTAGGCAACAATAAAAATCCAGCGGCTGCCAATGCGAACGGAGTGACTTGGCGCATTAACACCCCCATGACGCCACATGCCACATGCCGCCAGCGGCCAGCAGCCACATGCAGCCGAAGCGCAATATCATGGGCGTTAATTGCCACTCAAAGTATGGGCAAGGGATGGGGCGTGGGAAAACTCTAAGGCCATGCCTGACCGGATAATCTGCACTAGCCGAAATTGACCAGAAATAACTGCGAGTAATCTCATTTCCCAAGCCGGTTATACAAATGTGTTTTTAATCATCAGTAATATATAAAAGAAATA